ATAGTTTTGTGCCAGGGCAGGCGATCCTTTTGAAGCCGGGGAGGGGGGGGAACCTTTTGAATAGGGTTTTGCTTAGAGGCCATTCCAAGTTTTAATCTTCTTCAACCAATTAATAAGTCTGTGCTGGTCGATTGTGCAGCTGTTACTGTTTAATTTAGTATTAAATCACTCCTTCCCTTTGAAGTTTTAAACTCCGTAGAAATTCAAAGCTTGAAGAGTGTTATGAAGCTGCTCGGCGCCATTTTGAGTGACTCTTTAGTAAGTAAGATATTCATTTTCTTGTAAAAAATGAAGCTAAGGATTAATACAAACAATTAAAAGTTAACATGTAAAGATTCCGCTCGTCTTGGATTCAGTAAATCAAATTTTGTTCTGAGGATTTGAGGTTTGCTTTGTGCTGCTAATCACAGCAGGAATTCCTGGCGCGGAGACAATTCTGCTGTCGGCTGGCCTTCCCCCCCTCCCAGAGACAATCTGCGAGAGTTAGTTGGCACGTTGCCCAGCACAATTAGCTCACCTTATCTCCTTGGCCCGAAGAAAAGATAAACAAGCTGTCAGATGGCTGATGTATTGCTCATCCGACAGATAAACGCGACCAGGATTCTGGAGCTGTAATAACCAGCTCCCACCAGCAAGCCCCCTCAAATCGGAAGCCCAATGTTGGTGCATCTTATAGACCAAATACAGTCCCGTTTTTGGCCTCCCAATGCCCCCTGCATGCCCTTTTTGCCAAAACCTGGCTTGTTTTTGGTGAAAATGAGACACATGAAGAGTTTAGGAGTCTTTCAGACTGCTCCTGGGAACTGGGAAGGGGAAAAAACAGGACACATAGGGGCTTCAGGATGCCAAAATTGGCCCATTTTTTGCAAAAACAGGTCAATTATTTGCAAAATCAGGATGCCCAGAGGGTTTGGGTGGCCTGCAGAGTGTTCCTGGGAGATGGGGAGGGCAAAAATGGGATGCGGGGGGGCCTTTGAGAGGCCAAAAACAGGCCCATATTTTGCAAAAACAGGACATGCAGAGGATTTGGGTGGCTTGCAGAGTACTCCTGGGGGCTAGGGAGGGCAAAAACCAGATGCACGGAGGCAACAACTTTTTTTTTCTTATTTTCCTCTCTGAAATCTAGCTGTGTCTTATACTCCAGTGCATCTTATAGTCCTAAAAATATGGTATATGCCATCCTAGAAAGGCCTCATTTCCTGATCCACCAGATGTAACTTCTTGGCAGACAGGACCCACACAGGGGTGGGTTCCTGCCATTCTAACCTCTTCTATAGAAGAAGTTCCACAAATCTACAGTGCTGTTTAGAACTGGTTCCAGCTCCCTTCCTCCGCCCATCCGCATATCATCAAGATGAAGAGTGAAAGGAGGAATTTTGGGAGTTGAAGTCCGCAAATCTTAACACTGTCAAGTTTGAACACCCCTGGGTTTTTTTTCTAAAGGGTTAGGGATGCAAGGGTCTTATAACTTGACAGCTTTAAGACTTGCACACTTCAATGCCAGAGTTCCTGAGCCAACTTGACTGGAGGAGGAATTCTGGGAGTTGAAGTCCACAAGTCTTAAAGCTGTCAAGTTTGAACACCCCTGGGTTTTTTTTTGTAAAGGATTAGGGGTGCAAGGGTCTTGTAACTTGACGGCTTTAAGACTTGCATGCTTCAAATGCCAGAGTTTCTGAGCCAACATTTTGGTTGCTAAGCACCAAGCCCCTCCCAGTCAGTCACATGGCTGGCAAGCCACTCCCACCAAGTCACATTGCCAGCAAGCCACTCCCACAAAGCAGACCACACCTATAGAAGAGGTTCTAAAAAAATTGAAACCCACCACTGGACCCACAGCATATCTTTCTATTGGATCTGATGGGACAGGCAAACATAATTGGGAAGAGGTGATCCCTCAAAGACATGCTATGAAGGGCTTTAAAAACCAGAATCTTGAATTGAACCTGGAAGCAAAACTTGTGACCAATATATCTTCAATAGCAGTATCTAATGTGTGTCACTTTAGAGACACACATTACTTCCCTTATTGCATTTTGTAACCCCTGGTTTCTGAATACTTTTCAAATGCAATCCCTTATATAGCACAAAAATATGGAATCTTTATTTTCATAAGATTACCAAATTATAGAAATTGAAAGGCTGTTGAAGGCCTTCTAGGTTTATTCCTGCCTAAAGCAAGAATCTTCAGTCCATTCCAGACAAATTCTGTCCAGACTTTGAAAACCTCTAGAGATATACCAAAGGTGCCTTTTTCGAGGCAACTGGGTTGTCTTGTTTTTCTTTGATGACATTTTGCTTCTTATCCAAGAAGCTTCTTCAACTCTGACTGGATGGTGGGGAACTCTTTGCAGACAGCTGGTCATTTGCATTCTTTTAGTGAGTTGTTAAGGCCACCTGGAGGTTTATATGTGTTGTCAAGGTCCACCTGAGTGATACAGATAGGTGTGGAGCCTTCTTGGAACTGTTGTAGACTGGAGAGAAACATCTTCAAAGGAAAGCAAGAAAGTCCATTGTCTATTGGGAAAAAAACCCATCTTTGGGATACCATGACTTGGATGACTGAAAATCTCCATAGACACTTTAGAGATGAAGCATTCATCCAGGAGATAGGCTCTTCCACTATGTAAGAGCTCTGAATCAGGAAATTCTGCTTGATTTTGAGTTTGGATTTGTCTCTGAAGCTTTCAACTTTTGGTTCCAATTCTTCCATAGGATGCAGTGGAGAATAAATTTTAAATAAATTTAAATACCAGAAGACTGCTATCACATCTCTCTAGAATTTCTCTTTTTTGGACTAAATGTGGCATTTTTAAAAACCATTATTGAGTTCCAAAAATGGTGTACTAGTGGTGAGACCATTTTTTTTCTATTGACAAACAGCTGATTTTGCTGACAAATCTGGTTCTTTATCAATATACTCTGTTGATTTGAATGGGAGGGTCAAGATAATCCCCAGGCCTTGGAAGAGTAATCTAGATGGTCATAATTTTTGGTAAGAACAGTTGAAAAATTGGATCTCCATTTCCTCCTGTCCATGTTTCCTTGTTTTTTAGGGGCACTTCATTTGTAAGAATTCATATTTTGAATTATTATTATTATTTTACTTAGGTTTTTAAGTGTGAGTCATCCAATTCAATGATGACTTATCTTATACCGAGTTGTTGCATTATAAATTTGAATTTTTTACCTCTTTTTACTTATTTATCTTGGAGTTATGAAACACTTTCACTTTTTACTACCGTATATACTCAATTATAAGCCGAGTTTTTCAGCCCACTTTTTGGGCTGAAAAAAGCCNTCTCCCTGATTAGTTTCCATCCGTTGCTTCTTTTCCTGCCTTCAGGCGCTTAGCAAAATAAATTGACCCCCCTCCTCTCTGTGAGAGCCCTTTGGAAGACTACTATCATGTCACCCCTAGTCCTGCTCTTCATTAAACTAGACCAAAGGTCGGCAATCTGCAGCTCTGGAGCCGCATGTGGCTCTTTCATCCCCCTGCTGCGGCTCCCTCTTGTCCTGCATCCTGCATCCCTCAGCCACGTGCAGCCCTCCCAAGCTCCGTTTTCGGCTGCTACTGCCTCCTGCATCCCTCAGCCACGTGCGCCCCTCCCAAGCTCCCTTTTCGGCTGCTACTGCCTCCTGCATCCCTCAGCCACGTGTGGCCCTCCCAAGCTCCCTTTTCGGCTGCTACTGCCTCCTGCATCCCTCAGCCACGTGTGGCCCTCCCAAGCTCCCTTTTCGGCTGCTACTGCCTCCTGCATCCCTCAGCCACGTGCGGCCCTCCCAAGCTCCGTTTTCGGCTGCTACTGCCTCCTGCATCCTTCAGCCACGTGCGGCCCTCCCAAGCTCTGTTTTTGCTGGCAGAGGGCTGCAGGAGGATCCACCACAGGTGCCCCCAACATGAGTGACGTCAAGCTCACCAGGCCCACCCTGGCCACGCCCCCCCCAGCCCCCTCCGAGTTCAAACCCAACCCTGATGCAGCCCTCCATGAAATCAAGTTTGACACCCTTGTTCTGGGATCTGAGTACTTTTTTCCCCCCATCACGGCGATGTTCGCAGAGTTGTATGTTTCCTTATTTGCGTTGGTAAATGGTTCCTCTTTCCATTTCTGGTCCCTCGGCTTGTCCCGACCAGTTGGAAGACAACTGGGAGCAAGAGAAGAAAATCCGTGCCGAGGTTGAAAAAGCCCGTCGCAAAGCGGAGGGCGATCTGAAGATGACCATCGAAAATCTGAACGAAATGGAGAGGACTAAGCTGGATTTGGAAGAGGTGGTGAAGAAGTAAGTGGCCAGGTCCTCTTTCGACATGAACCCTTGGTTTGTAGAACAAAGGAGAACGTGATGGCCCATTCGGAGAACTTCTAAATCCCACCCCTGGCTGGCCCCGCCCTGCCCACCCCTCCCTTCCCCTCCCAGGAGTCTCCACACGGTCTGTTTTGGATGTGGCCTCCTGGAAGTTCTGGAAAGCCGGAAATGGGCATCTGGAGCCCAGGGGAGGCAGTTTTTGCCTCCCGGAGGCTCAAAGAAAATCTCTGGAGCCTGGGAAGGTGAAAATCTCCCCTCCCGCTGTAGTGCAGGAGGCCAACTAGGCCACGCCCACCATAACCACGCCCATCCAGCAACCAGGCAGAAAACCCATTGCTGAAATTTTTGAAGCCCACCCCTGTAAGATGAGGGTTGATGTCTGGAGAATTCTGGGAAATGTAGTCCAACACTCCTGGAGGGGACTAGGTTAGGAAGGTTGGTCTTGATGACTACTGCTTTCTGGATGTGTTCGCCCGAGCTAAGCTAAGTGGGTGAATGAGTATGTATGTTGGGGTTCAGGAGGCTGCAGAAACCAGTCATAGCTTATTTGTTTGAGGGTAGCACTTCGTGGGAACATCTCGATCATGGTTTGCGAACCTGAGAGCAAGCTTTAATATGATGTTTGACACTACGCATCAGTGGTGGGTTTCAAAATATTTTCGAACCTACTCTGTNATTATTATCATTATCCCTTCTTTATTTGACTATATCCTATATCATAACATTTTCCCCCTAATAGTCAAAACTTAACTCTATCTAATTTAGTTCTTTTTTTTTATTAACCTTTATATATAATCCAAAAGGTTTTCTGATCTTCCCTTCCTGGGTATCGTTCAATATTCATATCAATATATAATTTTATGCCACGTTTAAAGCAAATAGAAAACTGAGAAGTGTTCTCTTAGAAAGTCTCAAGAGTTTTTGAAGGGATATGGGGTAGAGGTGAGTGTTTTGGAGGGATCCAGTTGATTTTTAATCTCAAGCACAATACCAGTCCTTGGATCTTTTCATTCCGTGGGGAAATGGTGGACGCTTGGACCCCCATAACTATGCTTAGAGATGGCCAGAGGTCACACAGGGCTTCATCTTCTACTTTCGCCCCCACCTGTAGGTGAAACCTCTTCTGAACGTTGCCCGTCAAGAGGAGGAGATGAAAGCAAAGGAGGAAGAGCTGAGAAACGCCATGTCCAAGACTCAGGAACTGGTGGACCGCATCAAGGAGTTGGAGGAGAAGTTGGCCACCCTTAGCCAAGAGAAGAATGATTTGACCATCCAACTGCAGGCTGTGAGTCCACTAAATTCATCCTTGAGGAAGGACGTGCAACTTCCATTGGCTTGAGGGCCTTCATAAGCTTTGCATGAGATGTTGAGCAGTGCTCTCTGGAAATGGGTGGGGTTAGAGATATTTCGGATGGTAGGCCTTCTCACACAATGGTTGCCATTGTGGGCAGAACCATTTTTACGCTACTCCGGGGAATAGCCATTGATCTCCATGACTTCCATCCATTCTGTGGAGTCCTGGAAGCTCTCTGAGCTTGATGATTTCCTGGCAGATGTTTCATTACTCAACTAGGTAACATCATTAGTGCTAGAAGCGTTATCCAGTTGGGTGATGAAACATCTGTAAGAAAACAACCAAGTTTAGAGAGCACCTACCCCGTTTCTCCGAAAATAAATAAGACCCTGTCTTATTTTCCTGGAAACAAGGTAGGAATCCACAGTTCAACCCCAAGGTACAAATTTTGCTTTTGGTCCGTTCCATCAATTCACCCAACCCCTTTTGTTTTGGAAGTCAATGAAGCTGGTGGCCATCACTGCTACCTTCTATAGAGGGTCCTTCAGTAAGAATAACAAAGAGAACTCCAATGATCTTCTCTTGTTCCTCTTTCAGGAACAAGAGAACCTGACCGATGCGGAAGAGCGCCTGACTCAAATGATGAAGGCCAAGATGGACCTGGAGAGCCAGATTTCCGACATGAAAGAACGCCTGGAGGAGGAAGAAAGCTCAGCGGCCTCCTTGAGCGCCCACAAGCGCAAGTTGGAAGCGGAACTCAACGATCTCAAGCGAGACCTCGAGGGCCTGGAGACCACCTTGGCCAAGACTGAGAAGGAGAAACAAGTAAGAATTTGGTCCTTTGAAGGCTGGTTTTGGTTGTCCTCTATTGGAACTTCCCAGCAGAGTCATCCTTGCCATGACTTATTCATATATTAGATGGATCAGACTATGCCTTTCTCCTTCCCCTTCCTCCTCCTCTTTTGTTTTCTGTCTTTCTATCTTCCTTCCTTCTTTCCATTTTCCTTCTCTTTTTTCCTTCCATCCTTTCTTTTCCTTTGCTTTGCTTTCTTTCTCCCGTTTTTCCTTTTCTGTTCCTTCTTTTTGTTTCTTTTCCTTCCTTTTTCTCTTTATTTTTTTCTCTTTATTTCTCTTTCCTTCCTTCCTCCTTTTCTTTGCTTTTCCTTCGTTTCTTTTCCTTCGTTTATTTTTCTTTCTTTTTTCTCTCTTCTCTCTTTCTCCTTCCTTCCTTCCTTCCTCTTTTGCTTTGCTTTCCTCCTTCCTTCTTTTCCTTCCTTTCTTTTCCTTCCTTCATTTTTCTTTTTCTTTCTCTCTTCTCTCCTTCTCCTTCCTTTCTTCCTTCCTTCCTTCCTCCTTTGCTTTGCTTTCCTTCCTTCTTTTCCTTCCTTTCTTTTCCTTCCTTCATTTTTCTTTTTCTTTCTCTCTTCTCTCCTTCTCCTTCCTTTCTTCCTTCCTTCCTTCCTCCTTTGCTTTGCTTTCCTTCCTTCTTTTCCTTCCTTTCTTTTCCTTCCTTCCTTTCTTTTTTCTTTCTTTCCTTCTCTCTTCTCTCTTTCTCCTTCCTTCCTTCCTTCCTTTCATTCCTTCCTTCCTTCCTCCTTTGCTTTGCTTTCCTCCTTCCTTCTTTTCCTTCCTTTCTTTTCCTTCCTTCCTTTCTTTTTTCTTTCTTTCCTTCTCTCTTCTCTCTTTCTCCTTCCTTCCTTCCTTCCTTTCATTCCTTCCTTCCTTCCTCCTTTGCTTTGCTTTCCTCCTTCCTTCTTTTCCTTC